CTTTCCACGGGGCTGTCAACCCCATTCTCTGGAACCTCCTGACAATCTAGCCCTCTCTTCACATACAGCACCACCCCGCCTCCTCTTCTGCCCTTCCGGTTTTTCTTGAACAACTCATACCCGTCCACTACCACGTCCCAGTCGTGAGAATCATCCCAACCAAGTCTCAGTGGTTCCTATTCTATCATATGCCGGAGAGCTCTGGCTTTCTGCTGCAACAAATAATGACTGGCACTTCCAGGTGTGCTGCTGAGCTGTGCTAGTAGCAAGGAACAGGAGGCAAAGAGTCACATGAATTCTTCCTAAGTTAGAGTTGCCATCACGCTTTGGGACTAGCACTAATTGCCTCCTTAAATGGATGGATTTGCCAGTGAACTGGTGTTTGAATCCTGAGCACTGATTGCCTGCAGAACGTGGCTGTGGAATTCATCTTAGACAAAAACCTTCTGCTGGCAGAATCCCAAAGAGAATATCTGGATCCCAACCATCTGGGGCCCCTGGAAGGCCTCTCAGAACGTTCTGCAAACACCTCCTTAAATCAGCTATGAATCTTCCCTTTGATTTTACAGAAGCACTCTGTAATTAAGCACCTGACTCCATTAGTTTCTGTCGAATGAGGTCAATTCTGTTTGCTTTTCAGGTTTATGGAACCCGCTGTTATTGTTTGCCTAGGTGGGATACTCCCATTTGGATCCATTTTCATTGAAATGTGAGTCTTTTTATGTAAAAAATAAGCAAACTGTTTACCAGCAACCTTAGACAATGTTCATCAGCGTGGTCTAGTGTAAGATGCATGTCTGTATAATAAAGTCTTTTTCTTTAGGTATTTTATCTTCACCTCCTTCTGGGCTTACAAAATCTATTATGTCTATGGCTTCATGATGCTAGTTTTGGTTATCCTCTGCATCGTGACAGTTTGTGTGACAATCGTATGTACATACTTCCTACTAAATGCCGAGGACTATAGGTGGTAAGTGTGTATTTTGTGTTTTGTTTTTAATTGGGCAATCTTAGCCAGCAAGCAAGTCTAGGTAAAAATATTGGCCTATTTAATTGAAGAGTCTCCAGTGTTAGTTGTATTTTTGAAAAGACCTTGTCCATTTAGATATGAAAGGGACAGAACTGGAAAAAAGGAGTTGCACAAAAGCAAATCCATGGACATCACCTTACAAAACGGTGCAAATGGCCTTCTTTCTCATTCACAGCAGCAGATTTACAGATTTTAATGACATTCTGCAGTGATTCTTGTCTTGGAGTGTGAGGATACTGCATTGTTTGCAGAACCGTTTTCTGCCTAATTGAGATATCTGGGTGTGTTTGTTTTTCCTTCAGGCAATGGACGAGTTTTCTGTCTGCTGCTTCAACCGCAATTTATGTTTACATGTATTCCTTTTATTACTACTTTTTCAAAACAAAGTAAGTAGCCTTTGACATTTGCGTGTTCTATTTTTAGTTAATGAAATTTTCATGTTGAAAAACTTCTGATTACTGGATTCCAAATTATATTGAGAAATAGTAAAAACCTGATGTGTCTGAAGTGTTCTGTTTTCTCTCTCTCCCCCCAGAATGTATGGCTTGTTTCAGACATCATTTTACTTTGGTTATATGGCAGTATTTAGCACAGCCTTGGGAATAATGTGTGGTAAGTTCAGAATGAATTCAGAATCTCAGGCTGTATCTTTCTTCATGTCTGTGTTCTACTGGATTTCTGAATTTCATGTGAAATCAGAAGCAGTCTTCCTGGGCACCGGGGTAGGGTTGCCAACCCCCCCGGTTTGCCAGGGGTCCCCCGTTTTGGAAGCCCCACCTCCAAAACCCACAGCCACCCATCTCTCTCCCTCATCCCAAGCATGAACTCTGCAAGCTTGCAGGGAAATGCCAGCTTCGTTCTTAAAAGGGATACGCAGCTGCTCTTAAAGGGGAAATGCCGGCTGCCGGCTACTTTAAGTGCAGGGAACTACCGTTTCTGGAGATCCGGCGCACGGGGGGGGGGGGGGGGCGGCAGACATCCCCAACGTGATGTCATCACGTTTGGGATGCCCCACCCCCTCCAGGAACGCCCCCAAAGTCCCCTGCTGGGGGTGGAAGATGGACTTGGCAACCCTACACCGGGGTGAGGTTTGATTTCTGTTCCCAGTTGTAGCAGTTAAATCACTCTGATACCTTAGCATGCTTGATTACGGTTGATCAAAGCTAAAAAGTCTTTGGATTTTTTACATTATCGCCACATAGGAATGTGCCAAAGTGTGTGAATGAATGGATATAATTAATAGTTTTTATTTGATATTTTAATATATAATTGACTGCTTCTCACATGGCCTGTGTGGGAACCCCTTCCTCCTGCTCAAATTTGTGTCCCCATCCCAGGACTCCTTTTGATTGAAAGGGAAGGCTGGGAGGCCGTCACGTGCTTCAGCGTGTAGAGTCTAACCCGTATTTTTTATCATGGGCATCTATACCAAGCCACCTGGCCTGGGCCGTCCATTCTTTCAGCACCAGGTCTGTCTCAGGAGCGCTTGGTGTGAGGAGAAGGGTCCTGTGCTAGCTTCCCAGGGGGGCGGGTCTGCCGTGGGATCTTGGCTCAGCTAAGAGAGGGAGGTGGTTTACCCCCCCCCCCCCCACTGGCTTGGTCCTTCCCCTCTCTCATCCCAGAGTCCCATCTTCCTCCCATTGGGTGGCTCCCTTCACTCTTCCGTCTCTCTCCGAAAAGCCCCGGTGTCGTCTTCCTAAGCCCACATCTTTTCGTCCCCTGAGAGCCCATTTTTCTCACTAAAACCGTTCTTCATGCCCAGGGGCATAGTTTGGGTCAGGGCAAATCCAGAGGTGTGTGTGTGTGCGCGCGCGCGCGCGTTCATGCATGGGGATCATGAACAGGAGGTACTTTTTTTCTGTGACTTCTGAGAAGCTGCAGCCTCCACGTGGACAGTGTGTGAAGCTGAAGCAGAAATGCTCACTCCACGCTGAACAGAATCCACACCAAGCACCGTCAGCATGGCATGGTCAATGGGAACTGTTCTAAACAGCCCTTAGGGACCAATAAATTGGGCAGATAATTTCCTTTTTGCGGGCAGCGGGCAAAATGTTGACGTGACCTTTTAAAAAAAAATTAATTCTGATGGTACACCTATTTACAAAATCCATTGGTATGTACTCCCAGAAAATTGTGCCTGGGACTGTGGCTGTTATTGCACTCTACCTTGCCCCACTCATTTTTCGAGGCTTCCACTAATTCAGCTGTGCTGAACATAAGAACATAAGAGACATAAGAGACGCCAATGTTGGATCAGGCCAAAGGCCCATCCAGTCCAACACAGTGGCCAGAAATACCAGTGCCCTCAGGAGGTCCAGCAGTGGGGCCAGGACATTAGAAGCCCTTCCCTGCTGCTGACAGTGGTGATGTATACTTGCCCAACATTCTGGTCCATCTTGGGCACACATGCTGGATTCGTGTAGGTGACCCTGCCAAACTGTAATTGCCATCTTGTGGATTGTGTTATTGGGGTCTATTGGTTTTAATTATAAGTATACTGTGATGTTTTAACTGTTTTATTCTGTTGTAACCCACCCTGAGCCCGCTTGCTGGGGAGGGTGGGATAGAAATACATAAAATAAATATTTCAGCGACTTTTATCTGACATTTTGTCTTGTTTTTGCAGGAGCTATTGGCTATATGGGAACAAGTGCCTTTGTTCGAAAAATCTACACTAATGTGAAAATTGACTAAGAAACCTGAACTCTGGAACAGTCAACATTTTGGGGGTGGGGTGGGGAGGGGCAGAGTATATAAACTTGCACACCAAAAAGCGCAAGAAGAAACGTGTGTGTAACACTGGGCACTCTGTGGGTCTCTGTTTTGTGGATCATTTAAAGCAACATCTGTTTTCATCGATCCTGCGTTCTTACTGACATTCTCAAACTATTCTCAGCAAAAGCTTGGATTGTATTCAGTAGGCATTACCACAGTACAGGCTAAACTTCCCAAAACGTAGCACATTAAAGCTGAAATAGACTTAGCTCTCTTCAGTGAAGAGGACAAAATTGTATTTAAGCATTTGTTCCATTCAATTAAAAAGGAAAGTGAAAGGGCAGTTCTTTAAAACTTAGCGGATCAGTTCCTGGAACTTAAAAGGCTGTTCCAGAAGGATTCCTTCCCTCCAACTTTAATGCTGTTTGGCAAGGTAAAGTAACGCTGGGTGCTACCAGAATTAACTTGCAGTGTCATCGTAATACACATACACATGTTTTTTAAACATGGCAGATAATTTGCATGCGACATCACTTACCAGTCTAATTGGACCAATTTCCCTTTAATTCATCTTTAAAGGAATATCCAGCTATATCTGAGATCCATCCAAAGAAACTTTGAGTACTAAAGGTGGAGTTCTCTGCACTGTAAGTTGTTTGTACAGTTAGAAAGCAAAAAATGTTAAAAGAAGATGCAATCTGTTTTTATTAAATACTTGGAGGTCTAGATTAAAACAAATAACTGAATGTCTATAATTTCTGTTACTTTTTCTTTTCTTTTTTCCTTTTTTTGGTTCTTCCCTTCCGTCCCCCAAGGTTTGGAGTGTTTCTTGATGATGTAAAAGGGGTAATAAGTGTATAAAACATTAAATAATGTAACTTAGATGTAGCTCCCAAATGTATTTGGTTGTACAGATTTACTAAAGAATACTTTTTTCTGATGATACAGTGTACAAATGTGTGGATTTAGGTGGCTTTTTACATCTTGCCTGCTGTTGCATGAGATATTGGGGGAGGGGTGGTCCTCACAGTCTGTGTTTGTCTTGTTTTCTGTTTACCAAAACTCTCTCAGAAGCAAACACCTGTAATTTATAACAATTTAATTTTGTTTGGTTCCCTCCGGACACTGGTGTAACATCTTGAGTGGTGCTGCTTTTAAGTGTTCAGGAAATGAAAATAAACTTTTCAGACAAATGTTCTGATTGTGGGGGGGAAAGCTAGATACACTTAACTGTTGGTCATACTTATTTTTAAAAGCACTGCTGCAGAAAATCTGTTTCTGTACAAAGTGCTAGTGTACCAAAAGCCTGAGGATTTGTCGCAGTTCAGCTGCAGGGATTTCTTCCTTCCCTCTAGAAAGAGGTACCCTGGTGCATCGGAAAAGGTGTAGGGGAAAGAGGGAGAGGGTTGGCAAAGAAATGTTTCTTGTTTCTAGAGAAGGCATGAGATTAGTTTTGGCTTGTGCCTGGCTGTGGCTGTTCCTAAAAGACAAAACTGCCGCGAGTGACAGTGGGCCGTCATGACTGATTCCTCCCCCCTGATAAGTTCACTTGGAGACTTATTTTCATTTGCAAATAGTTGTGCAAGAAGAGAAGTAAATATAATTTACAGTGAATGGGTTTAGTTGGAAATGTTACCAGTGTGATCAAATCCCGTGATCCATTTTCAGATTTTAGCCTGCAGTTCTTTGCCTGTCGTCTAAATAGATGGTAGTTATTAAATGATTTGGGGGCCCTCAGTTGTTAGTCTTTGCGGTTCATTCAACTTACTGTACAGTTTTCCTTCTCAGCTGTAATATGGCCAGGGGAATCCACCCAGTGCTGCTCATTTGGTTTCAGTGTGGCTTGCGTACAAACCTCATTACAATGGTCTAACATGGTTCAGCCGTAATATGAACTCTCAGGAGGAGCTCCTTGTAAGGCAGACTAGGTGGTACCTCATTCTGCATAGTGGACATATCAGAACAGGTGAGACATTGCTTGACCTCATTAATGATTGTTTTCTGTCTCTCTCCTTCATTCTTTGGTTTGTGTTTTCTGTGCCCCAAAAGATCCTAATTCTGTACCGGGAGGGGAAACAAATTTTATTACCTGAATAAAATAGGCAATTAAGCAATAAGCTTACTTTATATACTTGTTCTCCCAGTATGTTTAAGAAAAAAAGGACCAGGGGGTGATGGATAGGACTGGTAGGGGAATCCCGGGTTTGGTTGCGAGTCAGATCGCAGGAAGAGAGAATAGGAGACCCCACGGCAAGATGGATTTGTGCAACGTTTTCATGGCAGCCCCTGTGTCTGTCACCCTTTTGGGTTTACAGCTTTTTACCATCTCCTGTTCCTGCCTCCCAGGTGCTTCAGCTGCTGTGCTGCCGACGGTGCTTAAAACAGGGGGGTTGGTGTAGAAGGCAGACTTGAAAACAGCCATAGGTTGCATCATGGTGAAAATCCCACGTGTCCGGGACTGCTCATTCTAAAAAGAGACCTAACACTGCAGAGCGCATGCACACAAACACCCCCGGGCATTTTACATACAGATGCAACACAGATCCTGACTGGATCAGGGCCTCAGGCCTCCTGGATGGAAGGGCCCCCTCTGTGTCCTGCATGGCCGCTCCTTTTCTTTGGTGCTGGAGTTCCCTGTGCCAGCTCTGTGCCGGGCTTCGAGGACAGGGAGGTGGGTGCCCATGAGCTCTCAGTGTTAATCCTGTGGTTTTCATCTGATCCCAAGGTGCCTGACTTGTTTTGCAGTTGTCATGGAACCAAAATGGAAAAGAATTGTTCTGGTAGCCAGAACTTGCTGTGCACTCCGGGCAGCATTTCTTAACCACGCGCTCACCGTGCAGAGGCGTTTCCGACTGCGTCAAGGGTAATATTTCTGTGAGGTGGGTTCCCAGAAGACTGCGTGAACCTGCAGGGCTTTCCAAGGAAGATGCCCTTTGCCTGGGCCTGTACAGTCCTAAGAGCCACTGGGAAAGGACCAAACAGTTCCAATATGAGACCTAAAAACATTTCGGGTTCAGTGTAGTCACTTGTTCAGAACGGTAAAGAACAGCTGTATCGCCATGAAGCGTTATCTGCAAAATTCCTTTATAGGGATACTACGGACGACAATGAACGGATGAGGAGGGGTTGTGGGCCGGGGTGTGTGTGTGTCAAAACCTGGTAGCAACTGCTGAAGGCTGTAGGCACCATGACACCCACTCGTGTGTTTTCCAGCGTCCATTTGCTTCTTTCCCACACCATCTCTCCTCCAAAATGCCCGTTCAGGAAGGGCTGCCTCTGTTGTAAGGAGACAGGCTTACAACAGAGTCCCCAGCATGCCCATCCCATTTGGAGTTTTTTTAGAAAGTGAACCGCTGTGTAGACCACGGTGATCCAGTAGACATTACATACCAGGAGTTTGACAGAGTACCTCACCAAAGACCCCTGAGGAAACTTCGCAGTCGTGAGATAAGAGGACAGATTTTCTTATGGATTAAAAACTGGCTAAATGACAGGAAGCAAAGAGTGGGAATAACTGGGCAGCTCTCACAAGGGAGGGAGGGAGGGAGGGAAGCAGGGGGGGTATTGGAGCCAGCACTATTTATTCACAAGTGATCTGGAACGAGGGGTGAGCAGTGCAGTGGCCACATTTGCAGTTGACACCGAATTATCCAGGATGGTGAAAGCCAAGGCAGACGGTGATGAGTTCCAGGAGAAACGTTCTAGATAGCATCCTGTTAACAGGTCTTCTGGCGGAAGGGCTGAAGAATCGCTGCTCCAGTTCTCCATGACCTCCCCTCCTGAGACTCTGTGCTTGGCCTCACCTCTTGTGGCAGCCATTTTCTTGTTGCAGGAGCTGTTTTGTGGGGTCAGAATTTCAGAGGTGCCCCCACAGAATCAAAAGGGCTGGGGACCCCTGGCTTATATTATGTCCCAGCATCTTGGGGTTGGCCCTTGTGTCTCATGGCAGTCCTTTTGTGGTGTCACCTCCCCCCCCCCAAAAAAAAAAGAATTATTCCAAAAGTGCTCACAGGCTTAACAAGGATGGATCTCTTGGCCAAGGGGAAATCCTTGCTATTTCCACCATATATAAATGTATATATAAATCCTTGATATAGCCATCAGCCACAACTGCTGTAAGGCAGAATGCAGTTAGAACTGCTGTCTTTTACTTCAGTTGTCTAAACAGCAGTATTTTTAAATGAATGGGTTTATTTAAGTGAGTGCTGCCTTTTGCATTAGCACAGTGCAACCAAAATGGTCCAAGCCAAAATCAGGATAACTGCAATAGAGCTATTGCCATTTGCTGCAAGTTCTTGGTGTTGGATACAATTTTAGGAATATGTTTCAGACTTCTTTGTGTATAAATTAACCCCCACTTTTCTTGGCTGAAGCACTTGTTATATAAAATGAAAAATCACACACAGAGTTGTACCGATGGGGGAGGAGCAACTTTCATCAGTGTGTGATGGCACATTTCCCTATACAACTGCAAGATGAGCAGCTGTAACAGGCATGAAGGAAAAAATGCTCTCTGGGTAATGCACATGACCAGAACTCAACCATCTGAAAAGCCCTTTCTGGGCAATGTCAAAATGTTATGAAGGGGAAAGGCAATAGTGGCAGGAGCAGCGCTCTGAAGCAGGCTGCGTATTCAGTGGCTGGTGCGCCACTGTGTTATTTTTAGATCTATAGCGTCGTCGTCCTGTCTTTTGGTCATCATGGAACTCAAGGTAGAAGCTGACAGTAGCCAGAACTCAATGGAACTTCTTCCCTTCAAACTCACAAAGAGGCAAATTGGGAGATGCTGCTAGTGAAGTATGTTCTAGGTCTGGATGTTGTAAAACAGTGATACAAAGACGCTCCGTTACTATCAGTAGAAGGCCTATCTTTCCCTTTAAATCAAGGCCTACGTATCAAAACATAAGGATTTCTATGTATGATTTGGTTCATGTTTTCCGACATGAAAAGCTTATTTTTGTACTTTTCTTTTTGACTAAACTGAACAGTTGGTTGTCCCACAAAATCCTTGGCTTCTGCTTTGCCCGCTACAGGAAACAAACAGGACACTGTGTGAAACAGAATGCATTTCTTTTATGAGTGGGGCATCCAGGGGTGCTGCCGGGGAAGACTGGGAAGTGCAAAAGCCAGCCAAGCTGAGCGCCCCGTGTGTGTGTGTGGGGGGGGTAGGGTTGCCAGCTCCAGGCTGGAGGTGGAGCCGGGGAAGGTACAGGGGTCTCAGTGGGGTACAATGTGATGGAGCCCTCCCTCCAAAGCATCCATTTTCTCCAGGGGAACGGATCTCTCTAGTTTGGAGATGAGCGGTACTGCTGGGGGACCCCAGTGTCAGGTTCCCAGTCAAATCACTCTCCACACACACTTCTGCAGTGAATGTTTTATTTAGAGATATGAGGTGCTGTGGGTTCAAACTCTTTGTTAGGACTGATTTGCAAGGCGGGAAACACAAGGTATAGCTGCAACCCCAAATTCCATGCATTCAACGTCAGCATCACTACCGTGGTCTTGAAAGATACACAACCACTAGCTAGCCAGGTGCAGACTTTCCTCCAAGGACATTTCTCATGAGAACAATGTCTCTGAGGCCTCTTTGGAAGATTACTAAGCAGCCTCCCTATTTCACTCTCACACACGCACACACACCCCTCAGGAATGCAAGGGCAGCAATAAGCAAACACAAGCAGAGAGAAGCAGGTAAATAATGGGGAAGGTTACAGGTCTTAAGCACCATACATCATCAGGTGCCAACTATGTACCTGTTATTTAAGGCCCGAGTCTGACACCCAGATTCCACCTGGAGGCTGGCATCCCTAGGCATTAGCTCATCTGCTGCTTTCAATAAACATATCACTGCCGAAGAGAGTGTTGTTGAGAGTAACTTGACCAGGAGTCAACTTGAACAGGTTTTCACCAAAAATGAAGTAGTTTGCGGTGGGAACAAAATGGCACAATTTGGTGGCAAGGTCAGCTCTGTTGTCAGAAATTATATTCCTTATGGTTTGTAATCGATCTTTGTGTGGGATGTTAGTATACAGAAATTCCACATCCCTGGTGGCTAAAACAGTATTCTCTGGAAGGTTGTTCAAAGATTGTATTTTCCTCAGAACTAGGAGTGTTGATGGCATATAGGGTCTTAGAAGAGAGTCCCATTTATCCAGATACCCCCATAGTGAGACAATGGGGCATCCTGGGTTGCCGGGTTTGTGTATTTTGGGTAGAAGATAAAAGGTACCCGGTCGAGGTTCTGGTGGTGTGTCTGACAGGATTTGTTCCTAAATGTGCAGTGGTAATTCCTTTATAATCTTGTTTAGTTCTTTTTCGTATTCCTGTGTGGGACCTGAGTCCAGTTGTTTGTAAAAAGTAGTCTTTGAGAGTTGTCTTTCTTTGGCAGCAGCTGTTCTCCAGTCACACCTCCGGGTGATGTCATCATGCCGCCGGTCATGTCGCTATGATCCCGGCACCTTGGGGGTGGGGTTCCCCCGGCAGCCCGATCTGGGCCGGCGGGTAACAAACCCATGGAGCGGGGGTTTCCCTGACCTGCCCCCCCCCCGGGGGGGGACCTGGCAACCCTATCAGGTGTAGATGGCAGAAAAAGGACTCTAGGTCCTCGCAGAACTGTATCATCTGTGTGGATTTGGTGGGGCAGAATGGAAGTCCACATGAAAGAACTGATTCCTCTGAGGGACTGAGTCTGTTTGGTGACATATTCAGTGATGAAATACTGTCTTCCCTAAAAGCTGCATTATTTTGAGAAAAAGAGCAGAAATCATGGTGATCCAAACCTACGCTCCCCATGGGCTGTTGGTCACACCCGACTCAAGAGCTGCCCCAGTTTCTTTGCCTTGCAAGAATGAGGACTGAGAGTGGGACTCTCCCCTTTTATAAGACAAATACCTTGTGCTAGCTGTGAAAGAGCCATTTTGGCATGTTCTTGGGTTCTGGGATGTATTGGAATCTCTGAAATGCCGCAGGTGAGCCTTGCCTTAGACTGTGGAACAAAAAGGGGTTATACACAGTGTTCCCTCTAAGCTGAGTGTGAGCCAGCTCACCGTTTTTTAGCCTCCGGCTCACACACATTTTTGTCCTCGCACAGGAAGGGATGGGGCTCCAGGGAAAACTAATTGATGCAGGAGCCCAATTGCTTGCTCACCACTTTCATGCCAGAGTAGCTCACCAAGTAGAACTTTTGCTCACAAGACTCCACAGCTTAGAGGGAGCATTGCAGTGTTCCCTCTGAGTTAGTGTGAGCTAGTTCAGTTTTTTTAGCCACCGGCTCACACATTTTTGCCTTAGCTCAGGAAGGATGGGGCTCCAGAGCAAACTAATTTAAAAAAAAAATATTTTCCTTATTTTCACCTTTACATTCCACAAAGTCTGTATATATAGGATATGATAATGAATAGAACATTTATACATCCCCAAAAATCTTTCAATTTCAAAATAAATTTTTCACTAGCATTTAGCTCACAAATTATACTTTTCTTTTGTGTTTTAGCCAGTCGTATATACTCTTCCATCTTTTCCAGAATACATTCTCTGGTTTATTATTCAATTCTAAACGCAGTTTGTCCATTTCCGCAATGTCCAAAATCTTGTGTTTAAGTTCTCTTATAGATGGTATAGCTTTCGATTTCCACCGCCTTGCTATCAATATTCTTGCTGCTGTCAAAATGTATGTTATTATTGATTTGTGGTTTTTTATACTATCCGGAATCATATTTAGTAGGGATATTTCAGGTTTTAAAGGGATATTTATTTTAAATGCTTCTCTTAGGGTTTTGTGGATTTTTTTCCAGTAAGGTTGTAGTTTATCACATCTCCACCAGATAAGAAGATATGTACCTACATTTTTCCCACATCTCCAGCAAAGATTTGAACTAATTGATGCAGGAGCCCAATCGCTGGCTCACAGCTTTCATGCCAGCAGCTCACCTAGTAGAACTTTTGCTCACAAGACTCCACAGCTTAGAGGGAGCATTGCAGTGTTCCCTCTAAGCTGAGTTGGTGTGAGCTAGCTCACAGTTTTTTAGCCTCCGGCTCACATTTTTGCCTTTGCTCAGGAAGGGATGGGGCTCCAGAGCAAACTCACTGATGCAGGAGCCCAATCCCTGGCTCACCACTTTCATGCCAGCAGCTCACAGAGTACGATTTCTGCTCACGAGGAGACTCCACCGCTCACAGGGAGCACGGGTTCTATAGGCAGGTTATGGGCAGTTGCCAATCCCGGGCCTTTGCAGGCTGGCCCCTGCCGCCAGGAGTCCTGGCCTGGTGGGATATAAAGGCGGGACTCTCCCCGGACGCGGCGTGTGGCCGGAAGACAGGAAGGAGCGACCAGGAAAGGCGGGAGAGCCGCGCCTGAGTCCGGCGGCGGCGTCTTCGGGGAAGGCCGACGAAGGTGTCTCCAAGGCCGCCAGGAGACGTCGCAGCAGGAGAGGGAGGCCCGCCTCCGTCCGCAAGAGCCCGGCCTAGGCAAGGCGGCCGCGGCCACGGGGCGTCTCCGGAGTCCGTTGATCCTCCACGGGGCCGCCACGAGCCGGAAGCCGCCTGCCTGAGGGCGCCTCACGCCGGGAGGGGGACTAGGAGGGGCGCGCCGGACACGCCCCCCGCCGCACGTCCCGCCCCCCACCCCCCAGAGCCAGTCAGCCGCGTCCGCTCGAAGGCGGGGGTGGAGCGAATCGATCAACCCGGAAATCCGGTCTTGAGCCAGAGGGGCCGTTTTGATGGCTATGGGCGAGGTGAGGACAGGCAGGGCACCCAGCCAATGGGACCGAGCGGGCGGGGACTTTTAAGCGACCGCGGGTCCTTCCTGAGAAGCGAAGCGCCCTCGCCCCGCCCCCCCTCGGCGCTCTCGGCCAATCGGCGGCCTCGCCCCTCCCGCCTCCCGCGCGGCTCCTCGGAGGGGGTGGGGTGGGGAGCAGGAGGCGGGCCCTCGCGCGGCCGGAAAGAGAAGGTGACGGACACCCGGCTCGGCCTCCCAGCGCCGTCGCTCGCTGCGCCCGCCCCTTTCCCGGCAAGATGGCGGCCGCGACGCTCAGCGCTCCTCCGGTGGTGGCGGCGGCAGCGGCGTCTTCTCCGTCTCCGTCTCCTTCCTCGCCGGCAGTCGCCGCCCCCGCTCCGGCCCCGCTCCCCGCCCCGCCGGCCACGGCCGCTGCTGTTGTGGCTGCGGCGCCTCCGGCCCAGGCCGCGCCG